CAATTTTATCACATACAATCATTTTGAATTAATGTAGGTACTGCCTAATAGAGAGCTATAATTTGTTGTATAAAATATTTCATTTATATTAAAGATATAATTTGTGCTAATTTATATATGTGATAAATTAAACTGATTTAATCATAACTTATGATATTGCGATAGATATCATAATCATTTAATTAACGAGAAGTTTTAATATATACAGCTTCACTTTTTCTTTAACAAACTTCTATAAATTTCTTTTAAAACTAGTAGATTAATGCAGATATAAATTGCTTTTTTACTTTTACTGTGTTTTTGAGGAATCCGATTAAATTTATCATAAAGAAAAAAATGTTTCATCTCATGTTTCTACTCTTTATAGCTTCGCAAAAAAATAATTACATATATTATAGATTAAATTTTATTATCAAATTATCTTGTCGAAATCAATAATCATGGAATTTTAATTGTTTGAAATGATTATTTAAAAAAAATTATATATACATATTTCCTCAAAACACAGTAAAAGCAGAAAAGCAATTTATTGCACTAATCTACTTGTTTTAAAAGAAATTTATAGAAGTTTGTTAAAGAAAAAGTGAAGCTGTATCATTCTGTGTAATACAAACTTCGAAAAAATAATAGACATTATTTGAAATAAAAACTTCAAAAATTTTGTTCTGATTCAGTTTCTGACTCAGATTTTGTTTCGATGATTTCAATTTTAAAAATAAATCTATTAATAAGTGGCTTCATTTTTCTCATAATGGAAATAGAGGAACCGTTAATATATATATTGCAATTTAAAAGAAGGCATTGAATGAATTATTAATGTATCGTAAGAATTACTCTGAAATTTTCAGTTTTGTATGCCAAAATAAAGGGATATTTTCCATCTAAAGCCGAAATTTAATTTCCAACGGCAAACTTTGTTACCGCGAAATCGATAATAGGTTGCTCTGCGCAAAGAGATATTCGTTGAATTATTAATACAAAAAATCCTCATGCATACGCAAATCTTGTATTTTACGGGCTCGCAATTTCTGACGAAGGAACATAAGGAAAGCAATACCTATCTCCTGAAAAAAGAACGGATCGTCCTAACTTACTTTATTTATTTAACGGGGAAAATCGAAATCGGTGATCAAATCGATTGCACGATCGTGTTACCTTTTAATTGTTGATGGATTCTGTATTTATGTAAACTTGCCGATTCTACTTCGGAGATTCAATCTTTACTCTCAGTTGACCCGATCGTGAAATAAAGGATAATTGAGAGACCCATAACACGTGCGATCGAGAAAATACGTTCAATTTTTAAAAGGGGATCAATTTTTAAAAGCGTACGCGAGCATTTTCTCGATAAGTTTGTCTGTGAAAAATTGTGAAAATAACGATTTATAATAATCGAACGATTATATTCTCCATGAATTGCAATTCAGCCGTTAATATATGTAGTTTAGCATCATATCGAATATATTGCACATTGCGACATGAAAATTGTGTCGGATAATCCGGATGTTAATGATACGGCAACAATGAACGTAGAAATCCGATAGAGAACTTGTTATAATTGGAGCGTTGTCTCGAAACGTTGAACATCCTGAAAATGTTAATAGACGTAGTGCATATATATATATATATATATATATATATATATATATATATATATATACATATTGCCAATCCGTAAATCGATGCATTATTATGGCATCGCGGTGCCACATTATAAATAGACGAGAACGGACAAGAAAATTCGCATTAATAGCTTGATGCCGGTAATCATTAATTTCAAAATTAATTCCAAATCGCTATCGCAATCGTTATAATCGTTACGCAACGATTATCCGATTATTTTATAAAAAATTAATTATACACACATAATAAACAATAAAATATTATTAAATAATCACACTCTTTTTTTCTATATAAATTGAACAAATTTGCTTTTTTTCTTTTTTTTTCATCAGAAAATTTGTATATATTTCAAATGTAATAAAATCGTATAAAAATAAAACGTAAATGTATAAAATTTGTTTTTCATTGCATCGTGATTATTTTTTTAAAACATAATAGTATCCGCATGATATAGTTAATAAAAATTTTTCGAAATTAATTTACTGAAGCAAGTCCTTTCTCTCCTTATTAAGGTAGATAATAAAACAAAATATTGCGTCGTATAAAAATTTAGTTAGGAAGATTATAATGTCTAAAACTTACAGAAATAATACACGCCGTTACTCTCGATAAAAATTTAAGAGATAACAAAATCTGAACTTATCTTTGGTAAAATTTAAGAGATGTATAAAACGCGCGACACAGACGAGAGAGAAAGAGAGAGACGGGAAGTATTTTAGCATCGAATGTCACACGAGTTTGTAACTCTTCTACCAAGATCACAAATCAGTCAGGAGCAAATGGGACATGGTATAAACTGAAACGGGTACGCTCATAAATCCACGGAAATGGAGATACTTGTGCTGTTTTCGGACCAGACACGATATGTTCAACGGATACGGATTGCGAGAGCTTAACGTATGTCGAAGCATTAATTTTCCGCTTACGAAAAAACTGCAATTCCACAAGTTCAAACAATGAGCATGCCAGATGTACGCCGATTATTGAAAGACTCAAGACCTACTAAGTTTTTATCAAATTATTTACGCATCTTCAATGTACCGTGCCCTCTCTATCAACTTTAATACTTTTAACTTTAAGACTTTTAAAGTAAAATATTAAAGCAATCGAATATTATGTTGATTTTTCAAAAATAATATTCGATTGCTTATAAAAGTAATAATTTACTTTAAACAGACAATAAATAGAAACATTCGAAGGAGATTCAATTTTAATCGAAATTTTAAAAACCTGGCCTATTCCTTGACTAACACTTGGATCATTCTCTTTTCAATTAATGCCCAATGCGAGGATGCAAATACGTATTCGAATACTCCTTACGGTGAAATATGTCTATTTAATATATCGCCAGCGCCTAATCGTAACGTCAGTTGCTCTAGGGGAGAGCTTGGCAAGATCCAATTGAAAATTTATCCGAGCCATCTAATCCACTTGCGAACCGACTACCGATTGTACGTCGAATTTCAACGGCGGATCGCTCGCAATCTATCGAATTCCGCGCGTGCACGTCGTTATTAACGTACCGAGTGAAGTACGTGAGAGCGCAACGCGCACGGCTGTCAGGCTCCTCTCGAAAAGGAGCAGTCGATCGATCAACGACAACGACGACGAGAATATTACAGATACAGCTACTGACAATGAATAGACTATGTACACTTTCTATACAATAGCCCATTATACTGCAAGGGAATAGATCTTCTCTAAGCATCGTATCACTAATCAAATCGACATGTCTTCTATTTCCATGCCTGATTGAAATTGCGATTAAATCTTAAAAAAATATACTTTTAGACTTTTTTATATGAATATCTGTTCAAATAAATATTCGTGAGTTATCCCTCTTTTGTGATTAGAAAGTCTCCAATTCTTTTATTCTTTATAATAACTATTGTCGACTTAGTGACTTTTTGTTTTTAATGCTAGAACTGTCATTGAAATATAATATCGGTATCTTTTCTATTTTTCTATAATATAAAAGTATTATATTTTGAAATTTTACATATATTTGGCTCTCTAACTTTTAATCACATCTCATATTTCTTTTCTATATCACTTATTCTATTTATATATCTTATTATATATATTTATATATCTTATTATATATAAAGAATTCGTAAAGTTTTACCTTATGTAGTCTTAAACAGATAATTTTCGCCGTGTCAAAAATAAAGCTGGTTGACATCAACTTTTTACAATAATGAATCTGCTGCAAACTCTTGTCTGCTTAACATCTTGCTTGCTAAAAATTTAATCAAAATAAATTATTATAAGATGTTAATACATGTATGATTGAAATTTTTAATTTGCTAAATTTAAATCGAAAAGATCGCTGAGAGAAAATATCGTAAACTTAGATATATCATTTAAAACTTAATGCCTCTAATATATAATTCTAGTATATACATATACAAATATACAAACTTAATTATTAAAATACATTAAAAATGCTATTGAAAAAATAAATTGTGAATGCAAAATCAAACGTAGTATTACTGAGCAATTTTTCGCTAAATTATAAAAGAGATTTCAAATTTTATTCCAGTGAAATTTTCATCTAAAATTTTTGGTTAAGTTATCTGCATGTAACTTTTTTTAAAGTTTTTCGAGTAATTTTATTAATTTGTTCCACCTGTAGTCATCTAATAATATTAAATATTGCAAAGCGCTCTATAAGCAATTAAACAATATTGTTAAAATATTGTTAAAATATAATTTACTTACATACGATTGAATATAAGCTTTGTTTTATTCATTTTTTCCGAAATCGAATCAATATCAAGTGTAATGAGATCGACGGAGCTGCTTAAAACTATTTCGTTGCATCACGTGTTGCACAAAATCGTCGCTGCGATGGCAGCATTGCATTATATTGTGCTAGGTTGCAAATAATCTCGCAATGTGTAAAAGAATCTAAAGTAAAACGAGCTTGTAAGTTTTTTTTATAATCATATATATAAACTGGAGATTTTAATCTTGTTATAAAATGCTCTTAGAGCGCCTCATGATTAATATTTTTAGATAATTGTCATATATAGGATGATTTGTGTAGAAAATTACAGATAACCTAAAAATTCTTATCTCAGAAATTTCTTTTTCAAACAAAATTTAGAATTATCTTTCTATAATTTTAAAAATATAAATACTCTGTAATTAAATCATTAAATATTTTATATTTAATCTTTAAAATTATTTGTCATTAAATATTCTTATATTTAATCTTTAAAATTATTTACTATTAAATACTGAAAAAATTGATCTGAAATTAAAATCTAAAATATATTGCAAATCAATTTATATTATTCAGTAGAATTTTGTAACAAATATAATATAAATATGTAAGATTTTATAACTAAAAGTGTCCTTTTTTTATCTTATAGGTCTTGACCAATTCAGGATTCAATTGGCAAAAAGAATCGATATCTTCACCGGAATTTATCTACAAACACTGGTGCCTGGAAATGGGAACGGGTGAATGACTTAAATTGAACATTTTATATGGTGGGTTCCTCCTAGCATAAATAAAATTAATTATTTTGTCTACAGATAGTCAAAATCAAAATATGCCAAAAGTTGACTTGTTGAAAGATGCAGAAAAACTCAAATTTACAGATATAATTTACATGAAACGCTTAGAGGAGCAAAATCTGCAAAGAGCAAAAAAAGTACTGAGATATCGTAAATCTAATAATCGTTTGGCTTTTGCCTTAACCTTTGGAGTCCTTGGGATTTATACATATACAATATATTCCGTTAAACAGGAAAAATTCTTAGATGATTTTGAGGAACCAGAAAAGACGATCGAGCTACCTAAATAGTTTGATTTTAAACGAAAAAATTTCATGTTTGCATAAACTTTTATGATAAAACTTTCGTATAATAGAATAGAGATGAGCATAAATAGATAAAGAATTTAAAGTTATTCTTTTCAAAGATTTCATATTCTATATTTATTTATTATTATTATATTTGTTTATAAGCACTGCATATTTACTTAAAAATGTCTGCTGCACGATTGCCGCCACTTCCTTCCATCCGAGACATATTAAAACTATACCGATTGAATGCTATAAAACGTTTGTCTCAAAACTTCCTTCTGGATCAAAGATTGATTGATAAAATTATATCAAAATCAGGACATCTTACTGGGAGTCAAGTATTAGAAGTTGGTCCTGGTCCAGGCGGATTAACTCGATCTATCTTAAAACAGGTTCCAAAACGATTAGTAGTCGTGGAAAAAGATCGTAGATTTAAGCCGACTTTAGACATGTTAGCGGACTCATTTGGTGCGATTAATGGACAAATGGACATAATATATGACGATATCACGAAAATTAATCTGGAAAATTTATTTCCAATGGAAGAAAAAAGAGATTGGGACGATAAAAATCCGGATATCTATATCATAGGCAATTTACCGTTCAATGTATCAACACCTCTCATAATTAAATGGCTACACGCGATAGCTGAACGTCGTGGACCTTGGGCATTTGGTAGAACGAAAATGACGTTAACATTTCAAAAAGAGGTAGCAGAACGTTTGGTGGCTGATGTCTCACATCATCAACGATGTAGACTATCGGTAATGGCACAAACTTGGACATTTCCAGTGCTTCGTTTTATTATACCTGGTAATCGAAAAATTTACTTCGTATTTATATAAATTTATTTTACGAATTTTTATTTGTAACTTTTAATTTATAATTCGCAGGCAGTGCTTTTGTTCCAAAGCCAGATGTCGATGTGGGAGTAGTATCGTTTACCCCTTTAGTCAAGCCGCGCACGCAACATGATTTTAAATTCTTTGAAAAAATAACGAGGCACGTGTTCAGTTTCAGACAGAAATACAGCATACGATGCATCGAGTAAGTTTATTTGCTATCTAATTCATTAATTGCGATAATAAATAAAATTATGACGAATAAAGTTTTTGTCATCATTTTTTGTTTCGCAGGACTTTATTCCCATTGGATTGTCGTAAGGAGTTAGGTCTAATGATGTATAAATTGTCTGACTTAGATCCAAAACTTAGGGCCTTCCAGCTTACTGTACATGACATCGACAGGCTAGCAACTGCTTATAAGTATCTGGTAGAGAAACATCCGGAGATCGGTTTGTACGAGTATCACGCGTCCCGTCACTTATTACCATTAAGTAATACGAGAGACATTGTAATCGAGGATTATGTGGAAACGCCGGAAGAAATGAGTATCTAACCAAGTTGGTTTTTTATACTCAAAAATATGCGAACACATCATATTTAAATTTTATTAAATTGCAGGTTTGTAATGCAGCAGACTAATTTGTTACAATAAATTTCGGTTATAGAATTGTGAAAACTTTTCTGTAAATATACATTTATATACATATATGATACTATGGCTTAGTTATTAAATAAAAATATAGTACAATGTACAGTTTGCATTTTTCCTTATGTTAGATGTAGTAAAAATGCTGTTAATTATTTTAAAAAATTTATATATATATATATATATATATATAATTGTAGAGAAAAAGAGAGAGATGTGTTCCTAATTTTATGAAAATCCTCAATGCTCACTGATTGTACGAGACAGTATTTATTATGATATTCTCTCTTTATAATTCACGCGATCATTATTCCTTTGATATTATTAATTTGCAAACCCTATTACCTCGGATTTAATAAAATCTATTCTATTATTGTCATTTTCATAAAGCGCGATACTGGAAAAAAGAATCGCAAATGAAAAATAAAAGGCGAATAAGGATCTTAATATTAATAAATAATCTGCGAGAAGAAAATGTTATACCCAATACACCGGTCGATATCACAGCTACTCGTTTTCTGGAGGATATAATTATAGATATTAAATAATATTCTATGCGTATAGAGATATGATATATAGATACTTAGAATTATTCATTAGGAATCGATGGAATCGTGCGCGAGTCAGCGTCACGTAACATTCTAATTACAGTGGACATAGGAAACTCAAGTTTCTGCAACGTACTGTAACGACCGAATGCAGGTGATTATACCTGAATTCGATAAAAACTAGACTTACGTGTTGCTCGTCGACAGTCGCGTGTCGATGAGCCGAGGAAATCCTTTGGTCCAGCGCGTTCTTTTTCTCTTTCTTTCTCCAAAAAATGATTACTTATTCTGGAGATCGTGTACGCATTCATGTAATTGTTTAGGACGTTTCCCGCTGTTGGAAATCTTATTTTCAAGATAAGCGTGTTCACGAACGACACACGCGGTAAAGTTACATACGCGTTTATTACATCTAAAGCTTTGTTAATTTCTTGCTACTCCGCAGATCATGATGTTGGGAAGGGCTCCTCGACGTTTACGCCAAGCACCGAGTGACTGTGCATGAGCCTGTAACGTTCTGCACCACCTTTTCGTTCTCGCGCCGTCCTCTGCCTATAATATAAATTAATTTGTCATTTTTATTTTCATCTCGTCGATAAATTTGCTCATAAATATCTTACTTTAAATATAAATGTCTCCTTGGAAGACAATTCTTGTATTTCGAAATAATCTTCGAGATCCGTTTCACAGCACACTATACATTTATCAAGATATAGCGGCTCCTGAATATGATAAGAAATATAGATTCATGATTATTAATATAATTAAGTATATATAAATATAAAAAATTACAATGGAATATGATAACTCACACGTAGTAAAGAATATCGTCCAAGTTTCTCTTTAACTAGAAGTAAAGTAGCTTCCTTGATCCCTATGTGCTTAGGAAAGAGCGAATCGTCGTTAAACTCAGGATACTCAGCGTTTGGCTGAAAATATGCGAATTTTGTTTATCTTGTACATAAAATTAGATACAAGAAATTGATAATATGTTTACCTTGCCGTTTGTGACAAGCATGGCAGTGACAGGTGCGAGTTTGACAGTTCGACCGCGTCTCCAATTATTATCAGTCGGCTGTGCCACCAGAAGACGCCCTTCGAGAACAAATCTAGCTTCCTCGTGAGCCCATTCCAAAATCTCGACAGCCATCTAGCATAAATTTTATTATCAATAGTAAATGACTAGAAATACATATTAATATTATTTTGTTTCAAAATTAAATAAGTACACGAAATAAATTTAATTGTATTACCTTTCTCAACTTGATATTCACCATATCCTGTTCGCCGATGGGCCGTCTACCATTTTGGATAATCGATATTCTTCTCCATAATTTCGTCGATGTAACATCTTTCGCCTCCTATTATAATTAAACATATATTATCTCTTTTCACGAAACAATTTTTTGCATCATATTACGCAACTTGTACTTACAGCATTCATGTGTTCCAAGTGTAATTCGATGTTCGTTTGAGCTTGCTTAAGTCTCTTTTTAGCTTCTTGGATATCGGGCCGAACAGAAGGCGTTGCCTTGAGCAAACGTGCCAACAGAAGCGGATATTTCGTAACTCTTTGGACAGGAACCTGAAAAAAGTAATTAAAAATAAGATGCATTTTTCTTCTCTCTCTAATAATTAGCTATAATTAGAGAATTAAGAGACTAATCAGAAGATTACATGACGTTACCATTAAGAAGGAGTTCAAATTCATTCTTCGCAAAACCGTGTTTTCCATTTGAGAAACCCTGAGGAAAATGCGTAAAAGCTCCTTTTCCTTTTCCAAGTTTTGCAATAATAAGCTAGCACTGCCTTGGCGCGTGCAATAGCTCTCGAAAGCGTGAAGCATCCTCTCCGACTCGAGGAAGATCTTACCCAGGTCCACCGTCAGAAGATCCTCATCTCCGGATTCCTGTGCGATTGAAGAAACCGTATATAAATGTAAGTTGCAGCGTAAACTTTTTCAACATGTATGTGTCTAAAAGTAAAATAGATTTTTCGAGCGATGTTTTACCTGAGCGAGTTCCACGCTGTCCTTTAATTTCTCAGCCAAAACAATATTATGCTCGAGTAGCTCCTCGACGTTCAGAAAGATCGCCGACAGTTGCTCCGACGTGAGGAGACCCGCTCTTAGCATCGGTCGATGGAACTCCTCGAGTATGATCTGTAGATCTCTGCCGTACTTTTGCTCGGTCTCCACGATTTCCGTGATAATCTCTTTCCGCTCCGCGCGCTTCTTCGAACACTTCCGACACACGAAAGGCGCGTAAACCACGCCGCTGGAATAAACAAAATAGAAATATATCTATATACGATGCATTTGGTGATGATATTATTTAAAAATAATTTTATTAACGTCAAATGAAAGTGGATAGCGATAAAGTTCACGATCGAATTTGTATTCATAATCCATGATCGCAGATGAAAGTGACTGTCGCATGCAACTTGCCAGACGCAAGTGTATCGCATTATCCATTCATCAGACATTTCAACCGCGTTCTTCGATAACGAAGAACTTTCGCTTTCAGGCGGATAAAATCGATAGCCAGAGAAAGTCAGGCCCGCTGTCTCTTGCACTTGTCGCGTAATCTATCAGCACGAATTCCAAATACATCAATAATGTGAGAGAGAGAGAGACAGAGAGACAGAGTCCACCAGAGTTATCTCACTTTGATACAAGCACAATCAAAAGGCATAAGAAACGGTGCAAAAAAAGAAATGAATTAATCATGGCTTTTAAGAATTCGGTTCGGCGATAATTCAGAAAGAGAGGAAAAGGTTCCCCGATTAATTTCTCACGGCAAGAGAACCGGTGTTTAGATTACTGCGACGGATGCGGGTCGACCGCGAAAAATCCGCAACCGTAACAAAACGACATTCGTTCCTCGATCCGCGAGATTGCACCTCCAGGTGGTCGAAATAGGTAAAACGGCGTTTTATTCGAGAATTTATACTTTGTTCGGAGCGAAACGAGCGAATTCCGGAGCCAAACTCGCAGTAAACTGAATCTCTCACGATCGAAACCTAGCTAGCCGTGGAAGACACTCCCCGATGAGGATTTCGAACCGTTATATCTTCTCTCCGGATCATCGAGCGCTATCAGCGCGAATCCGGCTAAGAATGATAACAGTTTACGATTTACATGGATGTTGAACGCATTAAAAACAAGTTTCAGGAAACATTCGCGTTCATTTTGCGACTGAAACGGTTCGCGAAAAGCTATAAATGCGAGCTAAGTTGAAACGCTTGATTTCGCTTATTAATGTGTATCATTCGTGCATTAAATAATATACCGTCGTACGCGTAAAAGAAAAAAAGAAGAGAAAGATAAGCAGAATCGTTAATCACACGCGCGATCGTTTCTCGCAAACATATATTTCTCCAATGATTATTTATATAATTCTTGCTGTATGATTTAAAAGCAATATCTTTTTATCAGATACGATAGTTCCCAAGTGAATTACACAATTAATTAACTTTTACCGTAACTTTTATCCGCGACATTGGAAATACGATTATTAAGGTACATTCCAGTGTACATCTGCATAATATCGAAACATTGTAACGGTCTCTCAATCGCCAAGTCGAACTCTTGCAATCTACCTGTCCGTTATCAGAGGATCCAGTCGCTGCTCGCAATCCTCGCACAGCTTCGCAGTACCGGAGATCACTTGTGGTATCCCGCCCAGAAGGCTTCTTGGACCGGAAGAGACGTTATTGCCTGTTCTCCAGCGTCTCGCAACACCACGAGTGCTGCTGGCTTGACTGCTCTCGGATCCGACTCCGCTGTCGGTTCTCTCTATATCGACTGTTCTCGACTGCAAAAATAATATGCAAAAATAATATGCAGAATTCTGAGATTAGATCATAATGAGAAAGATTTAAAAATACATATTAAATATTAATAGACGTATCTAGGCATTTTTTAAATCTTGAAAAGAAAGCTTCTTTTTATAGATATTTATTCGCTGATTAATATTTACGCTATACTTACCTTTAACGTTTCCGGGGAGCTCGTTAGAATGATGTTACATTCCTCGCTGCTGTCGGATACGTTGGAAATCTGCGAGCTTTTAGAGCTGAGATCGCCCAGGCTCGTCTCCTTCTGCTCGTACAGAGCCTCCAAGTCTCTCTCGGCATCATCTTCCTCATCTTCGTCTTCGTCCTCGTCCTCTTCCGCAGGACGTGTGTGGTCTTTAGAGTCCATCAGAAAATTCAAGAGCTCGAATTTTGTGGAGATATTGTTCTCGTCCTCGGGCGACGTCGACATCTTCTTGAAGAAATCTTCGGGACTCTTGGACAAGTAGGCCTCGGCTAGATCCTCCGAATTGGATTTCTTGAAAACTTCCTCGGATAAATACGGGCCAAGAAATTGACCCGGCGACACTTTTTTGTAATATTCAACGTCGCCAAAATAAATTCTATCCTTGATGTAATCCTCCGTGGGTGGCGGACTCAGCGGCAATGGCGGTGGCTCGTCAGGTATCTCCTCGTAGATCGGTTCCTTAATTACTTCGTAGGGATTTTCCTCGAGAAAGAGATTCGTCGAGATGAAATCGCCGTCCGAGTTCAGGCTGGACGCTCGCGAGTAATTTGCTTCGAGAGTGGACTCGGAGCTTTCGTACTCTTTACTTTTCAGCAAACTTTGCTTCAAGATCTTCAGAATGACCTGACCGCTGTCCTCGTCAAGGATCTCGCCGTTCTCGCGAGCTTTTCGTAGGGAATCTTCAAGAAGCTTAGAAATCAGAGCTTCTTTCGACAAACCGGACGAATCTTCGACGTCTTTGAATCGCGTTTTAGACTCCGAACGCATCACTTTCTCGTCGGATGTGTAAAATCTCGAAGACTGATTAACTTCCGAAGACTTCATTTCGATGCTCAATCTCTTTTGTTTTTCGAAATTCGGCGCCGATTGTTCTGCGTGTCGACACAGCGAGGATATTTCTTCGCTGGTCGACGCAGGTGCTTCTTCGTTATTCGTCTTCGAGTTCGTCTTGCCTTCGACGACGTGATTATCCTTTCCAATCTGTTTAGGACGCGAGTCATCGTTTGCCGATTCCACTACAATATTCGATCTGTAATTCTCTAATATCACTAGAGTGCGATTCTCCGCGGAGCTCTGGATCTTCGGCGGATTCTCCGAGTTCACGGAGATCACAGTCGGATTACACACGCTATCTTCTCCACCGACGCTGATAGTCACTTTGTTATCCCGCGCCGATTCCCCATTTGTACTCTGATCACCGTTGATCAGGATGGATGTTCTTCTAGCGCCCTTTGAATTAGAATTCGGACCGATCTGCAACCGATGGACTAGCGGTGATGAACGCGGACTCACTGTGATCTTGCAGACGTTGTTCTCGGGGGAGTTGATCTCAATCTTTGAGGAACCGTACGAGCTCGTCGAGTTCCACGACGTTGTGGATGCCGATGAAATTGTTCTCCGATGGTCTTTAATCGAATTGACGGGACTCTCATCCGTATTGGAATCACCGATCTTGAAACGATGTCTTTGCCTGCCAGGTGGCGGGGACCAGCTGGTGGGTCTCATCGAGCGGAAATGCTCGTTGCTCACGTCGGAAATATCGCTACGCGCGTCCAATGGCGGGTCGGACTCCTTTTCGACATCGTCAACGCTTTTATTCTCGAGTACTATCTTAATGTTCTCACTCGCCTCGATCTCGCAACCGGACTCTTTAAGTTCGCCTGTTTCTGCCTCGACCTCTTCTGTCTTGTCTTTTCTTTCCAGCGGACTTTCCTTATCTGCGTCCTCGCGCGAGACTGCGCATGTACCCATGGGTGACGACGGCGACGGCGACGACGGCGACTTGATCTTCTTGCTCAGACTGAATCGCATCGTGTCCGAGAAGAGCACATCACCCGCCGAGACGTCCGGTCTACTGAATGACCGGTCGCTTTGGCTTCGTGTCAAGAGGGATTTTCTCGAGTTCTCTGCGGACGCAGTCAAATTAATCAATAAATAAAGCGAGTAATTGAAGTGACATGAAATTTTAATTCTCAATTATGCACAATGATTCTTCTTCTATAAAACGTCTTTTAATAATTATATTTGAGCAGAATATAAAAGGAAAAAAATGTTAAATGTCATGTTAATATCGATTGATATAGTATATACTTATAATGTATTTTTAATGATAGATTTATATTAAGAAAAATTTTAAAAATATTCAATCTAAATATAAATATTAAAATCAACTATCGAGATTTCCGATGAAACATTAATTATTCCCTTATTTGATATAAATATAGTTTTAGAATTTATTTATAAAATTGAATTAATGTGCTACGCTTGCAATAATGATTCTGCGAGAATCACGCAATCTATAATAAATATATAATTTTATGTTCGGTGATTTATTTTATATCTTTTCTTTGCGCTTTGTGTCAAATGTAACAGATACATTTCTCTCTTTCATAAAGCGAGAATTTCCGTTTATTTCATGACTCTCTGTCAAATGCCAGGAAGGAAAACCGCAGATGTGAAGCATGAAACTGGAATTGGATACGCGTGAAAAATATACTCGGTGATTTGATATCAAAATTTAGCCGGATGCACGTCTGAAGAAAGCTGATGCTTTTTATGTAGATTTATGACGATATCATTTTATAACAATGAATTCGCACAGGGAATTCATTCAAGTTACTCATTATGATATTATAATTGCATTTATATTCTTAAGGTTGAAAGATAATAAATTTACGTGAAAAAATTAATTATGTTGTATTTATAAACTATTTTAAATGAATTATATATTATTCCTTTTATCACACATATATTTCCATTAGATTAATATTTGCAATTAATTTTGAATTTATCACAAGCAGAAACTATTAAAAGCAAGACTATTAAAAGTTATTTACACTCATCAAATATCACGAACAAAGTTCTTCTTTAGTTAATCAACATAATCTCATCCAAACTCCATTCAATTGTCACCACGTGCGATGTATTCTCTGTACGCCAAGTTAATATAAAATTAACATCGAGGTTTTTCCCTTCAATTCGCATCTCTAACGATCGGTGAAAGTGTACTTTTGCGTAAACGAGCTCATAATTTCTCGCCTCGAGAAAATTCAAACGGTTTTTCCGCGGCTGCTCCACTTTATGCAGCCGCCAGGAATTTCTGAGCATGTGATTACTTGGTCGCAAAAGCGATTGCGCAAATCACCGATCCGCTTCGTTTATGGCTTTATGGCTCGGATCAATCTCACGTACGGAAAAGGATGATCTATCGTCGCTGCGAAATTTTGCGAAGCTAATTATAAGCGTTGTGCCGCAGCAGCTAATCAATTTTCTCTACGCGGATTTAACTACGTCATCGAATTTGACGCTAAATAGTTTAAATTATAAAGTAAAAAAAATTAATGAATAGTAAAAAATAATGAATGGATGCTTCTTATTTTTCCAGTTCATTTGTAATTTTAAGATATTATGAGATCGAAAATTTATATCTCTATTTTCTTGACTTTTAAAATATAAATAAAATATAAATTTTATCTAAATTATTATTTAATTTTAAATTAATAATAATGTATAATTTCATTCTAAATTAAAAATAAAATTATATAAACATTTTGCTAGAAATGTGAAGATAATTAAAATTTGTTATTGAAAAACACAAAACGCATTCAAGTTTCAAGCACTTGTGTAGCAAATAAGATACTCTCGCAAAAAAGAACATCTCATGCACTTTTACCGAATATCTATAAGCTAGTAAAACACACAATGAAGCAAAAAAAATTCAGAAATGGCAAACAGAAAGAAAAAGGTGCGGCAATGTTTAAAAAGAACGTCATTTTTAAAGATCCTAGACAATGAGACAATGCTCTTTGAGTAAAAAAAAAACGCTAAATGATGAAGCAACAAGGTTCCTCGTTCATGCAAGGATTTATATCGCCAAGCATAAAACGAGCGTAAAAGAAGGTTTATGATATACGGATCGTGAATCGTCCCGGTGTGAAAAAGGATTATCGAGCCTCATGTAGTCGGTGCAAAAGAGTGAAAACATGAGATCTCTCCTTCTCTCTCTTTCTCTTTAAAAAGCATAATTACACGGTTATAGACCATGCGCGCGGATCAAGGGAACGAACCGATGATTTATGAGACCCGTGGGTAAACAACGACGGCGCGAAGGAGTCAAGGTTCCCAACTCGAGATACTCGATCAGATGCATCTATTACAGGCGCAGCACGTGGCTGATGCAGCGAACATTCGAGCATAATGATCGATAGTTTCTTTGAAAATTCTTCAAACACACGCATCAGAGAAAATCTTTTTCTCTTCCGTTTATCCATGTGCTCAGTATTTTTTCATTTATTGTTTTTCCAACTACTTATAAGTAACACATAAATTGTATATTAATTCAATTTCAACGTGTAATACATGTATATATTAAATTTTTTTCTATTCTCAATCTACATCTTATATCAATATTTTTCTCTAGTTGGTGGAAAAAATTCAGAAAAACACATGCAATAAAAAAATTATATTCAAAAAATATATTCAAAATATTATTAACTAAATAAAAATAAATAACAAAAATAAAAATGGCATGAAAACTTGAATTTCTACATATTTCGAACGTGATCCAAATCGTGCAACAGGTGGGTTTCAACTTAATTACGACAAGACCGGCTGCAGTTATTAATTTCCAAAGTGGAAAGAGCGTAGCGAAAGCAATCCTTTATGTGAATCATCGTCATTCAGTCATTATTACATTATATCTGAATTATTGTATGCGCAATAATGAGAAACTGATGAAAATAATTCACGATTTGTATCGCGCGCGTGTATGAAACAGATTGTAGTCCCGAAGAGGAGAAATGAACGTAAAAAGATTCGCGCCTGGGAAAAGAAATCGGCATTTAGGTTTTATAATTCGAACGCATCGCGCTCGCTCGTGCTTGAGCTTAGAAAGTAGACTGGGAATAGTTAATTAAAACGCCGTGAAGGAAGACTGGAGATGAACGTGTAAAACAATGAATGGAGAGGTACTCTATATTTTTAAAATACTGCATATATATTATACATATAAATTTAAATTTATATAAATTTCAAGCAACAGAGATATTAATATCAAGAAATTATTTATTGCACAAAGTAATAATTAAAACTCGAAAATATTTTGAATTTAAATTTTAAATTTTAATTATATTTGATTTATATTTATATTTTAAATTTTTTAATTATATTTGATTTATATTTATATTTTAAATTTTAATTATATTTGATTTATATTTATATTTTAAATTTTAATTATATTTATATTTTTAATTTAATATTCATTAAACGTACAAATGTGAATATACAAATTTTTACAATTGAAGAGTTTCACGTATATATAATTAATGTCACGCATATAATTAATGATTATTTTCATAAATTGCGTTCAATGACTTTACCCTTAAAATTGATGACTTAAACTGATGTATTAAACATATACTCGTATGTATGCGAGCGTGTTTATTAGATATGAAGGTGGATATGAAGAAGAGATAAAAGTGCATCGTGTCCATGAGACGTTTCTTCGTATTGCTCGCTTGCGGTTATCTAACACCACCGTCACCACGCAGTGCATTTACACCGGAAACACGATCACCGGAAGTCATCGTAGGGGATTTGTTTTATTCTCCGTTACACATTCACATACCGCCGCAAGTGTAAAGATACACAACCGCATTTCACGAGCAATCATGAACAGAGATCAGGCACAAGACACGTTTATGAAGAACAAAAAATTTGCTCTGAAATGTCTTATATTACCTTTTCTTACAAATAGTTTATTTCTATCTTTCTGTCCTTTTTCTAAAAAATAAATCATATAATATTTAAAAAACGAAGAGAGAGTCATGTAAATTTTCTTATTAAAAACATAAAACTTTATGCATATAAAAGACAAATCAGAGAAAAGTGTAGACTTTACAAAAACAGCTCTAAAATATTTTATGTGTTTTTCCTATGATCTTTGCAAATAACTTTCGTTGCATATAATTTTCCAGGAACGCTTATAAATTATTGGACGATATTATAGCTATATAATAAGGATCAATTCTAGTCATTATTGGCGAACAGGATTTTAAGACACGAATAACTCTCGATGTCTCCGAGAGATTGGCAACTATCTTGGCGCGAATTTTATTCAAGCGTAATGCTAAGCTATATATTAACTCGATCACTCGACGTATCGCGAGTCGCGAGTCGCAAGCAAATATATCGATCTTCGAAAAGTTGCTTCGGTCACCATATCATATACCAGAAGCATGATTGCAAATACTGTTGCGCCATAATACCAGTTTGTTACCACTGTAATTGCTATTAGTAGGAGCCAACGTAACTGATGACGACTGGCGGAGATCGCGCGTGGAATATCAATTAATCGCAACACTAATTGATATGGCGTACGTAAAGAAACGCGCAATCGTTAACGAACATTTGCTTCTATTAATAGGGCGGATTCGCGTCTAAATATTTTTTGTTTTTCGAACGAGACCGGTATGGTTAAATGACGACTAACACGGCGTATTTCAACGCCGAGCATTCGAGTTAATTCGCATAATTCGCATTTTCCGGCATGTCTTATCTCGCGTTTGCGTTGCAGACTCAATTTACCGCGAGCTCTATATTTTCGAATCGGCGTCATCAATATCGGGCCTGCCGGTTCTAAAATCTTTTTCGAGAGAGATCCATTTATTGTTAATGTCATAGAAAATATCAAAGAAAATCCGCAAATTAAATTGTAGAAGTGTATATGCAGCAGATAAAAAAATTTAATAACTAAAAATTAAAAATTTAATAAAAAATGTAATAATAAAAAAATTTAATAAATTTTTTAGTTTCTAAAGAAATCAGATAATTGCCAGAAAAAAACGAGAAATTTACTTGCTTGTTTAAACTCGTCAAGAATAATATAGTCGGACGATTCGCATATGTGGAATTAGTATGTAACTATTTTTCCTCCTTTGGAGACAATACATCGCCGATAAATATGTACACGTCGTTCCATATAAAGACGACTGCCGCTCTCATTGTTCTCGATTGTCTCGTACCTTTCCCACGCGTCCACTTTCGCGGCTTCTCCCTCTTTCATCGCGAATGTAAGATAATATAACACCGGAAAGAATAGCGTTTTCTTTCACGATGAATATCATGTGGCATTTGTTGCAATAGAAAAAAAAATATTTTGCGATGAAAAAACTGTTCAATATAATATTCTCGTACAAAAATCATGAGAAATGGTAATTGTCTGTCACTCTTTACATTATGCTATGTCAAAAACCGTCTTCTCCGCAAAAAATAACCCGCTTATAATGGATTTTTATCTTTACCTCAAAATGAATGCTAAAAATAAATTAACATAAATTTTACGACATTAATAAATTTCTCTACGATGATAACTCTCTTAAAAAAGATATCCTTTTCTGAGTTTTGTGTGCTAAAGAAGATGTAGCATTCTTTTTAAAGTGTAACAGCTATTATACGTAGCTTTGTAACAAGTAGCCAGATGATAAATTGTCAAGCCCTGACCTTATACACTTTCGAATGCTCCAGTCGCAACTCACGAGGCTCTTTTAAGCGACTCTTAAAAGCAAACCAAATAGCCTGAGGATAAGGCTCAGGGTCGTCAGGATCAGCTAACCTTTCTCCTCTTGTCATCGACAAAGAGGGTCTCTTAAGGAAGGTTACTCGCGAATTTCAGCCGCGCCTTCCAACTGCGTTCAACGTTAATTTGCTTTCGTATTAACTTATTAAATTTTATACATGATGTAATTAAGAAAAATAATTAATACTTATCTATATAAGAAAAAAATTCTCTGTATTTTTTATGCAATTTCTCGAATTAAATATATTTTTTCAAGATAAATCGCGCCGTCAAAATCGCGATTTCAATGATCTTTGTAAACATGTATCACAGAATTCAACGATCCTTATAAGAGCCTCGAGACAAAATACTGTGCACCGTTAAGAGAAGCGTAAGTAATCGCGAGCCGTCATCCTTGGATGCGTAATTTTTTTCAAAAGTTCAAGGATAGCTCGATAAGTCGCATCAACTTCAACGGCTCATTAATCACGCGTATTAGCATAATGACTAAAGGGAAGAGAGATCATAACCAGATGATAACACGATAAGCGTCGACGATCAGGATTATCGATTCACCATATAAAACGGTCGCGGTCATTCCTTTAGATTTCATCAATTTTCATGCAAAATTAATCTCTGGATAACCGCAAGTACATGATCCTCAGAGATGTCAGCATCATAAAGAGACCAATTATAATTATTATCGTCCGTAAATTAATTGTTAATTTTGTGTAAGTGCATATTTACAACTACTAATGCAATTCTAAAATAATAAAGTTACATTATTATAAAGATCTGATTCCAAAAATAAATTATATGTTTGGAAGATATCAATGTAAAATAATTGACGATATTGTGTAATATTAAAAAATAACAGCTAAAATTAAAAATATAAATAAACAATAATGTAATGTTAATTATGGAAAATGCAATAATATATTATTGAAAAAAATAACACGCTTCAATTCTGTTTCAATATATTCTCTGATTCTATCTATGAATCATGTGTGTGTGTTTTATACAATTGTAAATTTTGAGCAAACATTTCATATATTCGGTATATGTCAAATAAAAAATATGAAATTTCTCCAAAAATATACTGAAAATGTAGAATGAAGCGATAAATATTAGAATAATATTAGATTCTGATTATTTTTGTCGCATATTTAATATATGTTATCAACGCTACTTATGACAGAGATAGAATAATAATCTATTAGCGTCCCGGATTGATATATAAATATGATTTTAATAAGATGATTAATGCATGTAATAACGAAGAATTTTACAATATTTTAGAAAGTACTTACCTTCGGATTTTAAGATGAGATCCTTCTCGTCCACAGCAATGCATGGCAGACGGTCCTTCAGCTCCTCTATCTCAATCTCCAGCTCGGTTTCGTCTTCGAATCGGACGGTATTCTCATCCAACAATCTTCCCTCTCCCGATAATGTCCTCTCCTCCTCTCCAGTAACGATCTTCGATGACGATAATGAAGCGTTGGGCGAGGATCGCTGTATGTTGCTGATTTCATCCTGCTTCTTAGACGCGGTGGGACGACAGGGCTTTCTGGATGGAACGAATTTGTCTATTTTGATCTTGTCGAGACTGGGCGGCGTGATCTTCTTCATTTCCGGTACGATTCTCGGTTCCTTGAGTCTGATCCTGTCGACCTTCGGGTCCTTGATATTCGGAATCGTGATAAAATTGGGTTTCTCCTGCTGTTCCTGCGACACAATCGGCGTTTCTTCTCGCTCAGACCCGGGGCTGTTGATTCGTTGTTCCTTGTTGCAATTGGCGATCCTGCCGATTTTGCTCCACGACAGTCGCGTCGCTTCGGACGGTTTCTCGGGTGCGAATATCACGTTGTCGACGTTGAAGAGTACATTCTTCCTCTTGCTTTCTTGCACGCGACCGCGCTTTAGGATGCTCTTCAAAGTCTGCCGAGCTTCTTTTAATCTTCTCGGCGGTCTCTTCGGTGATACCTTGGGTATTGGGATTCTAGTGACTGGCGGAGACGCATCGTCATCGTCGTCCTCATCATCCGAAAATTTCCTGAACGCCTCATTGAACACCCTGATTCGCTGACCACCAATCGCCGCCACAACGCTTCTATTCGGTATCCTCTCGATCGATTTCACTTTCGACGAGTCGAACAGACTGGACATTGTTCTGAGATCGTCTTGCTCCAACGCGTTGTCCGATAAATCGTCGCTTAGATCGTCCTCGTCTCTCTGCTTCTTCAGTAACAGATACGGATTCACATCGCACTCGAGGATGCTTCTCCGCGAGTCCGCAGAGATCGGCGTCGTTCCTTCCTTCCAATCGTCCTGGCCACTTCTCCGATTTGTTGGCGGCTTTTTCGAAACGCGAATCAGTCTCGCGGACGTCGTCGCGACAGAATGAATCCGCGAGTGACTCTCCGAGGTCTCTTCCAGCATCCAATCATCCGAAGACACGCCACTGCCGCCACCGGAAAAACCGGGTCGCGATTTACGATCGTCGTAGCTCGCAGCCGCGCTCGCCTCTTTATCGAACCACTCGGATCTCGACGAAGACAACGACGACGACGACGTACCCTCGACCGAGCCCTTCCGTTCCTTCGTGGCGGCCCGCGAAATCATACTCTGGCTCCTGGAATCTCGCTGCGCGGACGATCGATGCGGCGAGATGCTGCGCGCCCGCAATCTCGGTTCCACCAGCCGGTTCCGTCGCATCTGATCGTACGGATCGTCGATCGGGGTCCTCAACACGCCTAGGAAATAGATTCAACCGTTTGTACTCGCGAGAGGAAATCGCCCGGCGGCTCCCGGGACTCGTTTTATTACAACGACCTAGATCTCTAGATCGAATGCGAAACGTGGAATTTTTGCGATAATACCGTATTTCAGTTTCTAATCTATATACATATTATTCCGAGGAATATTCCTTCACGACAAGATGATATTTCCTCTCGGAAATATTTATTTCGATTTTTAATTCCACTTTAGATTAGTTAAGGAATTTATATTCTGAAAACGACTTAGGAGGAATTTATAGTCTGAAACTTGAGTCTTCTTAATTCTTAAAGAAATTACTTTACAATTTAACAAGCGAATTTATGCAGGAAATGGATATTTTTATATCTACTTTACATGTAATAATATTTCACTCTTGTCTAATCTAAAAGTAATTTGTTTGCGAAATAAATTAATTATAGAAACAAAAGAGCACTGTATAATGTGCGTATACTAAAAATTTTGCAACCAATTATTAACTGTTATCTTTACTTTCCACTAATGAAAGTAATGCTAGTAATCAGCTAATAGGTTCGCGTTTACATTTCGCATCGAAGGCTGATACGAGACCGTCGTGAAAACCATTCGAGTGTAAAGTATCAATTGTTTGAAACATCGCTACTTTACATTTTCAGCGATTCGCAAAGTATCGTAGCTCAACCGCGACTCGAATAAACGGAACAGCGTACGATATATGGTCTAAAACGATTTAAATGTAAAGTAAATGAGTATGCAAGAGCATCATCGCCGAGTAAGATTCAGTTATCTAGCCTGCAGCCAAGAACTTTCTGCGCTTCGTTGTAAGCACGCTATCTCGAACGCGAACGAGGAGAAAATCTCTCTAATACGAAACGCGCGCAATTAGAGCATGAACATCATCTGCGGGCAGGAGGCTCTTATATCCCGCCCTCACTTATCTTATGAGCTCGAACGATGCCCTCGTATATTTCATGATAAAATAAATACAACTATTCTTACATATTTTATGTATATCGTTCTTATATAGGTGTTATATAGGATATAACAGTTGTGCAGAGAAGTAATTAAATAATGAATTTTGAAGATCAACCGAATAAAAAGATTATGACATTTTACATGACACTTCAAAACTTATATTTATGCTATAAATTTGATAGATCACAGATTCTTCCTTTTGACATTTTTAATCGCGATAACTCGAATAAAAATAAGGACTATTCAGTTTGATTTGCAGAATTCAATGTTTAAATACTTTCTTGCATGATTATTACATCCGATATATTCTTAAGAAAATCGTCATAATTCATATCTAAGGACGTGAAAATTATAATTATAAGCTCTTCGCGAAATGCTTTATGAGAGGACCTGGAGAAAAATCGGAGATAAAAACAGATAAATGATAAACGGATTTGCTCACCAGCGAGACTGGGTCTGGACCTCGAGGATGACGGTAGCCGGCAGGTCCCGCCGAAGGGCAACCCGGCGACTCGATGGCCGCCGCACTTCCGGCAGCTGCCGAGCTTCCTGACGGTGCCGGAGAGGAATTCCGGGCAAGAACATACCACGAGCAGCGGTGCCGCGCCCGGTGGCGGCGGCGGTGTCAGGAATGGCCGCGGTTGTTCGATCCGCGACGATCTCAGTGTGCCGTAAAGCCACGGATCGGCGCCGTACATCATCTGGCGGGAGAGCACGCTGCTGCCGCTTATGGTGCCCCAACCACCCTTGTTGGGATCATCCCCAGGATTCTGATGATGCTGTCGCGACAGGCCTAACCGTACGCTCCACGACTTCTTGCCCTTGCTCAAAGTGTCGTAGCTCTGCAATCAAAATCGCGGGAGAAATGATCATTGATGGTGAATAATAATAATGTCTGTTTAAAGCTAAAAAAATTCTCTCAAAAGTTTCTGATCTTCCAAGTATTTTTATTCGAAATTAAGATAAAGAAATATTATATTGATTTCTTGGTGCAATTTTTTAAAATAAAATTTTTCTTTTAAATTAAAAATTTGTTTTAAATTAAAACATTGAAAGATTGAATAAATAAAGATAAAATATATATTCATAATATATTTTAAACACATAATTCACATACACATAAAATACTATAAGTTTATATAAAGAATTTCTTGATTTCTTCAAGTATACAAGAAATCTCAGAGATCTAGATTTTCCATATTTTTTCAAAGAATAAATATTATGAATATTGTTGAATATGAGAAGAATTAGACAGATGTCAAGAATGATATTTTGTAAACTTTCAATGTTTTTAATAATGATTGCGAAAAATTTTGTTCAACATGATTATTTCCTTCTTCGCTTCCTGAATGAAATTACAAATCCAACATGAGAAATGTCTGAATGTATTTCAATTTTCTACAATCTTTTATCACAGAAACAGAGCATTATACAATCTCCATCCGTGCTTTCTACCATAATACTATATCACTCGAGATACAGCAATCGCTCTAACGATACATTACATTACCATGAACCGTGTAATATTTTTTCGACATGATTATTTCTTTGGCTGCCGGATGGAATCAGAAAAGCCTCGTCGTAAGAAATCATCCGAATGTATTTGCAATGTACATCGTGTGTGATCGCGACATTCTTACGGTAATTGGCTATCGATAATTACGGATGCATCCGCTGACTCTCCAGTTCGATATATCGCGCTAGCTATAATAACTTCCTGGACAAGAAGAACACGCGAGGTCCTTAACAGCCAGAGTTATATTCGCCTAGACACAAAACGGAGAATCGGCCATTGTTGTCCCTGTCCAGGCCATCTTTCTTCCTTTCTTCGGGCTGTTTACCGATGGTATGCCGTAGACATGGCATGCATACAACATCGGTATTTACACCCGAAGAGACGGAATTCCGATGCATATCACTAGAGAACTGGGGGAACAATGTATGCGTGTTTCTAAAAATATGCATTTTCTTATGACAGAATAACTTAACGGTGAAAAAAAGATTTACGTTATTAATAAAAAGCAATATTATTAAGTTTTAAAATTTTTATAACAATAACAATTTTTATAAGGTGAAAATAAAATGTTTATAAGGGTGAAAATTAAATTAATTCATCCAACTATATATTTGTAATTTACGCGTCATAAATTTTATTTTAAGTCAAAAATAAAGTTCAATCTCGAGTTGAAAATTCTGGGTAGTTGTTCATGCTCTTTGGCTTCTCCGTCCATAATAATCAACGTAGCACGTCTTATCGCGACAATGAAAGCGAATTCTCGCATTGCGCATTAATCTCGCGTAGGAAACGCAAAACGTAGACTTCGCAGCCTTTCACCCCCCAACATGTCACTTTCGTTCGCGATTTTATCCACAACGGGAATCGCTTTGTGTTCGATGAGTATCGAGAGGCTGACGGATCGCTCGTTTCAATTTCCCTTTAACGACACGTACACAACTCGATCTCCGTTCTCCGCGTTTACCTTTTCTTCCTTTCTAGAACCCTCGTGGATCGCGAGTCCCTTCCGCAAATCATGCTGCTTCTCAGCGTCAGCCGTATTGCATTCTCGGAAGAGAGAAAAACGAAGAGAACATTCGCGATGCGAACTCCGGTAGAGGTAAGTAAGTTGTACAAAAAATTCACAACGTGGAAGAATAGCCGTGGATGGGAAAAAACGAAGGAAGAGAGCGGAAGATAAAGAGAAGGCAAACGCGTTCAGGGAAAGTGAACGATGGTAGGATCGCTCGCGATCGCCAATTTAAATTCGCTTCCCCTTTAGAGAAATCGCAGAGATAACGTCGCGCACGTCATGTATTCGCGATGTTGAATCTCGCGAGAGAGAAAGAACCAAAGAAAGAGGGAGAGATCGAATAATGCACAGCTGAAAAGAGAGAAAAAGAAACATATAGATTTGATTTTCTGTATATCACGAAATGGTGATTTATCAGTTTAGTGTGTATTTCTAACGAGATGGTGAGAAATTTTTGATAAAAATCCTCTGCGATAGAAAAAAATTATTAGAGATATCAATCATAAATCTCGTATAAATTAAATTACAAATGATACTTTTATTTTATGTTTAATTTATATCTTCAATGACTTTAATTCACATTCTATTTCTTCCGTTAGAAATATCATAATTTTATAGTAATATATTTTTGTATGAAAATAAATTTTTCCTTCTCTATTTACAAATATTTTCGTTACACAATATTTTATGAATTGTCAGCAAAAACATAATGTCAAATAATAAAAAAAAAAGAAAATGAAAAACAAAAGTTGTATATCGGAAAATCATCAAGAAGAAATATAAATATGTATAAATTTGTATAGGAAAAAACATTAATGCACAGATTAAACTGATACTATCAACATCTGATGAAAATCGTTGAGAAAAATCTCTCCTCTTGATTATGCAAATGCTTCGTGTAATAATAAACTACGAAGAAAAAAAAATGCAAAGAAAAATTTTCGTACTGTTATACGTTGTTCGCGTATGGAAATCCGCATTTGGTGCTCCGCAAAAATGGCATCGACGCACAAAAGAGGAAAGATCGTTTGCGACGATTAGTTTGAAATACATTTCCGCGGAAGCACGAAGAGGATGTCTGTTATCCTTAATTAGATTTCCTTAATCGTGATGATGTTGAACTCTCTCGGTTGTTTCTATTTAATCCATTTAAATCCGTTCAATTCGCGCTTTATAATTATCCTTCGCGCGCTTATCTCTCTGATCTACGCATTTCCACTGATAGATATACGTATATGCAACATACATATACGCGAAATAAGGACTACAACATCTTGGAGAGAGCGGGACATGTTGATTTGCTCGCGACACGCGCTCTTGGAGACCGAATCTAATCTGATCTATCGAGAGAGTTTGCGCGATATATACTCTGTCCCTTCTTTATGCAGTTGTAAATTGAAAGATTTGGACGGCAACTTGTTTTGCAACTCTGATTGCGAATTGAAAAAAATTAATTATATATATTACACATTTTTAAAATATACAGAATCTGCATTGAAAAACAAATTGCTTATTGCTTGGTATAATTCTTATAACACGTCCTAAAAATCTATAAAAAGTCAAATTTTAAATTAAAAATTACATTTTTCTCGTAGAATATGGCGACATATTTTCTTATACTTTAACGTTATTTACATTTCATGATAGTCTCATCTATTGATGTAATGATTTGAACTGACGTATACTCGATAATGTCTCCGTCAAATACATTTTTTTACTAATGAATTATATAACTAGACAAGTCACAAGTTTCACTAATTATTTATTTTGATCAGAAATATAACTTTGCCGTTTAATTTCGTTTTTAATTTCGGCAAAATAGAGATAACTTTCCTGAAAGTGCTACGTGAAGATAAGTGAAAGTATGGGATGTACATCGGTTAATGCACGTTAATATATTAGTTACAATTTATAAACTGAGTCAAATCACGAATGATACCGAAACCGAGCAGAATTTATTAGGTTCAAGAATGCATGAAATTGCGGTAATTAACGAACGCAATTGAAACTACGAAGCGCAAAACACGCAATAAATTTTAAAATAAGAAAGTTCTTTAAATCTACTCTTATTAATAAATGTTATGATTTTTAAGAAATATTTCACGCTACTTATATATAAACAACTATTATTAGCATGCATGATATTGGCTAATTTTTATCAAACGATCCTCTGAAAAATTCTTTAATCAATTTATATGTGAACCAGTACATGACAAAAACGTCGACTTGTTCCGTCTTTTTTTTTCGCAATTATCAGAGCGCAAAATCCGCGCTCACGGCAACAGCAGCTGCGAAGCAAGGTACGACAAAGCGCATAAGGTCGGAAAATGGGGCAAGCCTCGAGGGCGAACAGCGAGGTGCACTTTACTTTCTCGTCCATACGGGACTTTCGTAAAAATCCTGTCCCACAAGCTCACGTAAGAGCCCCGGCCAGTCGAAAAACAGAAAGTAAACTAGCGTGTACACGCGGGCGCGAGAGCGGCATGTATGCAGGTAAGTACACATAGACGTGGTCACCACGCCTGCATGTAACTGGCAGGTGCAGACGAGACGAAAACGGGCGTGGTTCGTGAAGTTGCTTTTCGATCGAATTCGATCTTTATTACGAGAAATTTGACTTTCTCGTGAGAGAGAAGACAGATATCTGAAGGAAAATAAATTTGTTTTTTTTAGCAAAAAAAATTCAATTCAATTTTTATTAACTTGACATTTTTAATATTTTGTTTAATACTTTGTTATTAGACAAAGTTTTTTAAAGATAGAATATCACAAGTGTAGAACAGAATTATTCAAATATTTTTCATATATTTTTTTCTATGATGTTTTCATGTCGCGTGACTCATTTAATTGCAAAAATTTACTTACACAAGATTTTCTAAGTATATCCCTAAAATGCAATAATCCTTTATATTGCATAAAGATTTCCTATTTACGTAAAATAAATATTCATTCAAGGATCGTATTATGATGCATGGAATCTCATTGGACGTATTTCCTTTGCGATCATATATGATCACGAGATCTTCGATCGAACGTGATTTATCTTTCTTGTGTGATATCTCGTTAGTGCAACAAACATAGTCTTAGATCTTTTCATATCGTCAAAGCATCGAGACTACTTCCCTTAAAAGACTACTGGACTCAAGTGGGCAACGTTCTTCAGTTGCGCCTCTCGTGAGCGACTCTTCTTCTGTGTTAGTCTAACCAACTCTTGAGAAAATACGCGACGAGATCTCTTCACTGAAACACATACGCGCGTGTACACAAGATTCAATTTCGCGAAACTGGCCACTTATTGCACAACTTTTTATAAA